CACTAAAAAGTAAAATCAAACATGTCATGCCAGCCATCAGCCTTAAAATGCCAACAAGCACACCAGGTTCTCGAAACCTTGATTTTATAATGGACGGCTTATAGTTGAAGGCGTAGTACCTACGTATTAGATCAGGACAAAAGCCCCTATATATAAGGTGTATTTCACTAAAAAGTAAAATCAAACACGTCACGCCAGCCATCAGCCTTAAAATGCCAACAAACACATCAGGTTCTCGAAATCTTGATTTTGTAATGGACGGCTTATAGTTGAAGGCGTAGTACCTACGTATTGGACTAGGACAAACGCCAATGTATATAAAATGTATTTCACTAAAAAGTAAAATCATACACGTCACGTCAGCCATCAACCTTAAAAATGCCAACAAGCACATCAGATTCTCGAAACCTTGGTTTTGTAATGGACGGTGTAGTTAAAGGCGTAGCATCCACGTGTTTGATCCGGACAAAAGCCAGTGCATATAAAGTGTTTTCCACTAAAATTAAATACACATTTTTTCCATTAAAATTAAAATAAATCCAAAATTACAATGCGAGCCACCTGTCAAAACAAACATGAATAATACGACGACCCCTCAAACAAACACGGCACGGCAACCACCAACACCCGGAAACAAACGCCAAGCGCACACCATCGGCACCGGTGGCACGCCGCCCGCTGTGTGCTTAGCGTTTTGGGGAAAAGCAACTCCAGAAAAATCCCATCTGGAGAGGGCCACGGAGAGCCACCCAGCACCGGACCAGCAAAGATTCCTCCAACCTTTCTACCCTCTCCGTCCATCTAGAATGCACATACGCCGTTGCCGTGGCCTCGGAGAATTACGGAAACACCCTCGGGTGGAATTACCAGAACGCCCTCGCGTGTGAAGTTACAGGAGTGTCCTTTCCCCGCCAATAAATAACCCCTCCGCCCTGACCTGATCCCCTCCCCCTTCCTCCTCCTCTTCCTCCTCCGATTGGGTGGCTGCCATTGCTCTCCACACCATCCAAGCTCGAGCTCCCATTTCATCACCACTCTGCTAGCCCGAGTCTCCCTCTTGACCCACCGTCGGTTTCAGGCCTCGAAATCCTCGTCCCAGTCTCTTTCTCCTTTCAAGAAGAATTTCTTTGGGTTGAGGGAGCTGCTGTTCTTGGTAGGACAGGCTAGGCCAGATCTGGGGGAGAGGGTGGGTTGTTGTTCCGCTTGAAATCTCTGGGTTTTGTTGCGCTGGAGGTTCTTGCTGGCCATGGTTTGTCCAGGCATGCTGAGGCGCAATCTCTGAGCTTTATGAAGATCGCCACTCACCTGCGCCGGTGCTGCTTCCTCCAGTCCTTCTCCGTCGTCTTCCTCTACTACTTTTATGTGATCTCATAATTGGCCCTCTAAAATCCGCCGTCGCTAGCAGTAAACTATTTTCTCCTTCTTCTTGTTCTTCTTGCTTCCTTTTCCTGCGTCAACAAGTGATAAATAAGAACCGTAGCAGCAGCATCATCATCAGCAGCAGTAGTAGCCAAGTACTAGTGATTCCGGTGCCAAGATGTCGTCGTCGTCGCTGTCGCCGGGAGGCGGAAGGCTGTCGGGCTCGGACGGCGACTCGGGGGCGACGTTCGCGGCCGGGGACAACCGGCGGGAGAAGAGGCGGCTGTCGAACCGGGAGTCGGCGCGGCGGTCGCGGCTGCGGAAGCAGCAGCACCTGGACGAGCTGGTGCAGGAGGTGGCGCGCCTCAAGGCCGAGAACGCGCGCGTGCTGGCGCGCGCCAACGACATCACCGGGCAGTTCGTGCGCGTGGACCAGGAGAACACCGTGCTCCGGGCGCGCGCCGCCGAGCTCGGCGACCGGCTGCGCTCCGTCAACCAGGTGCTCCGCGTCGTCGAGGAGTTCAGCGGCGTCGCCATGGACATCCAGGAGGAGTGCCCGCCTGACGACCCCCTGCTCCGGCCGTGGCAGACCCCGTACCCTGCCACCGCCATGCCCATCGCCGCCACCGCCACGCACATGCTCCAGTACTGATCGATCCGGTGATGATTGGGTCAATAATTGAGGATCCCCTGTAGGAGCTGAGCTGAGCTGTGGCTGGCAAGAGGAAGAAGATCTACTCTACTTGGCTGCTGCCTTGAGGATTATTACCAAGGCGTAGTTTGCTGCTATATGTTGTGTTTATTATGTTTCAGTAAGTGTCCGTCGTCGTCCTCCTCCTCCGTGTCCTATGTAATGTAACAGTAATAAGGGTTAATTATATGTATGGTTGTGTTCTATGTATCGTGAATTTGTGATAATTCTGTTCAATGTTATTACCATGTCATGTTATTATGTTTGGTTCCAGTGTTCAGTGTAAATTCTGCAGTGTTCCAAGTAATAATTCAAGTGTTTGATCAGATTTTACAACAGTCACCGGATGTTGGTTTCTTGTTGAATTGAATGAAGAACAGTTTGGCCAGTTTCGCAGATTCACATGGTTTTTTTAGCCCACACCAAGTCTGTGTAAATCTGTGGGCTCATGTCAAATCACAAGTAAGGTGGAAGGCATCGAATCAGCTTGAGTGCAGAGAAACACCAAGTGCTCAAAAGCAGAGAAAGATCTTCAGCTTCAAGGTTCCTCCTGGATTCTGTCCGACAGCTCTCTGTTCTATGTTGTTTTATTTTCTTGCATGCATCTATTCCAACCTTTTCATAGGCAAAAGCAAGGTGACAAGAATCAAATGGTACCACTAGGTCACAATCCATGTCGCAACCATCAAGATATGTGTTACAACAGGGAAGAAACAGCGTATACATCAGCACCTTTGATCAGTAATCACGCAATAATGGCTAATGACTGTAGCGTAAGCAAGCAGAACGAGATCCGTCATCAGAAAACTAAACTCGTGACCGCATACGAAAACGACGGTGAAAGGCAAGGGAAAACCTTAAAAACTTATCTTGACCGAACCAAATGACATCACCAGATAGAAGAGCACCAGTTATAGGTCATAATGATGGTGCTTGTTCCATTCATGATAATATCAAACATAAGGAGTAGCTTGTTAGCTCACTTCCAAAAGGATGACAGTGAAATCTAAATCATATTCATGTCAGAGGGAAGCCTTCCAATCGCTGAATTGGTTTGCAACACATATGAGACAAGACATATTTGATACGACAAAAAGCAAATTCAAAATGGTTCGATGTTCTCAAATGGTGGTGTGCTTATTTTCATGACAATCTCCACAGCAATCACTCTGTCATGCTCTCCAGAGAGTTTCAGAAATTACTGGCAAAACCAAAATGACAAAAGACTTCGAGATGTAGAACTTCTGGTTCAGCACTTCAGAACTACTCCTCGACAACGACGCTGATCTGCCCCTTCTCAAGCATGTCGTAGAAGGATCGCGTCTTCCTCTGCTCGTTCCAGTGATGCATCTTCCACATACCACCAGCAACCAGCCCAAGGGTGAGTCCAATGAAGATCTCCTTCACCACGCTCGGCCCCTTGAGGGTCGCATGTGCAACTCTGCCGCCTGCCATCTGCTAGCTGTTGGGCTCAGATGCCAAAATGCCTGCAGAAAATGAGAAGATTCTGTGAGCTGATTTAGTGGGAACATGGTGACAGCATATCTTCACCAAGGCAGCAAGATACTTTAAATAAATGCAGGCATGCATGTGCAAACAACATAAAACAATTAGGCCATGATATATGATTTTTCAAGCGTTCAAAGGTCACTTGGGTTAATTGCGCAAAAACAAGTCTGTACAAATTTTCAAGACATAACCGAGTTGAGACTGGAAGAACTAGAATGTGAATCAAGAATTTCAAGATTTTGAGTTGTAAAATTAGTGGACCCAGCTATGTTAAACCAGCATGATTCACAAACAGTAGAGTGTGAGGAACAGGTTCTGATTCCTCAAACTACTCATCAAAACCTCTCTAGAGAACAATAGTAGTTGCAAAAAGAGTCAACTCCCTGCTTTTGCACATCCTAGTATCATACTATTCCACCGCCCAAGTTTTTAAAAAGGCATCTTAAGATGGAGCAGGGAAAAAATGTGACACAATAAATGGTCCTCAGCATCAATCATTGCTTCTTTCAAGAACAAAAAATGTATGCAGTGTACCCTTCACCTAACCTGCCACTCATGCACAGAGGACACAGGCGTCGTAGTCAACAAAGCATAAATGAGGCAAAGCAATTAGTTGGGAGGAACTTCCTTATCACCCATCATCAGATTAACCATAAATTATCAACATCCTAGCAAATCCAACAATCACCACTCAAATTATGCATTGTTCCATACGAAGCACTCAGCCAAAAGAAGATGGACAATAACATCATAATTGCCACAACAGATCATTTTCTTCAACACAATGCATATTTAAGAAGTTACAGACAAACTACAAGATAAGTCAAGACCGGGTTCACTCAAATTCAAGAAATCACTAAGAAAATTAAAAAAAATCCTTTCCATCAAAGAAAATACCCACAGAAAGTATACTTGATGAGATCTATGATAAGTTTGCACTTGGGGTTACTTTGAACATAAGCATCTTCATCAGTAAAAGAACTTTTCTGCTTTGGGATACTGAAAGGACATGAATCTAGCTAACATATACTATTGTATATAAGCCAAACCAAGTAATCAACACAGATGAGCTCTACCAACACGGCAATATGGTTGTGCTGATACGTTCATAAAGGAACTAATACCACAACACCAGCTGGAACCCCACTCACATAGATTAATGGCATTTTATAGAGCGCCATATCAGCAGGTTATTCGCAATAGTGATACCTCACAAAACCTATAATGTTAGCGCGGATAGCACAACAGTTACACATATGAAAACATATGCAGATATAAGACAGTCGCTAAGATACTTGAAAAATCTTACAAGAGTTATGCTGACATAAAATGAGAGGAAAATGTATAATTGTAATGTGCTAAGTGCAGCAGAGAGAAATTACTGGTGCTCTAAGAATATGAATTAACTAGAATAATAATAAAAGCACAGTCCTGCAACACCACTCATTCATGTGCATGGCAAAGTCGAGAACTACACAAGTCACAACACCATCATGAACATGATGCAGGTTGCTGAGCAAAAAGATAACAGAGTTTGATAATGATACGGGATGTTAGAAGCTGCGACAGTGCAATAGAAGGCACACCTAACTTCATATGTGAAACCAAAGATGACACACTAGTGAACATATAATGTGCTAGTAAGGGATTACGCTGAGCCAAACCATCCAGAGGCAGCGGCTATGGTACCACGCCAAAGTATACTTCCTAATTACCAGGTATATAATCTGATACATACATGTCCACATCTCATTGGAGCAAACGATGTTTCTTTCTTAGCCACCATTTCCCAATCCAAATCGCATGGCCCTCAAATCAAAACTGAACATGAGCTAGTCAGGGATAGCACTGAGCCAAACGATCCACAGGCAGCAGCTATGGTACGACGCCAAAAGATACCTCCTAGGTCCCAGATATATCATCTGATACATACATATTCACATCTCATTGGAGCAAACGATGTTTCTTTCCTAGCTACCATCTCCCAATCCAAATCGCACAGCCCTCAAATCACGAGTCTATGATGAACAAAAACATGGCCAAAAATTCGCACCGCATGTGGGCAGCGCACGCCGTGGTTACGAACAATATGCCGTATTCACACGAAAAAAATAATAATACCGCCTCGCAAATCACACGCATCCTGCTACCCTAAATCATCGCGCAACATCCCAAATTTCTAGCCCGTCGGTTGATGCCGTCGACAGCCCCAGCGAAATGGATCATCCAGGCACCGAGCGACCAGATCTGGAACGGTTCCTAACAAATTAGAGGGGGGAAACCTAGGATCCGATCCGCGAGAAGGCCACGAAGGAGCCTAGCCGTGCGCCAGGACACGGAGACCCGAGGGATCGATTGAACGGAGCAGGTTCGAGCGGTGTGGGAAGAGGGGTCTGACCTTGCCGCCGCCGGAGGAGAAGGAGAGAGACGCCTGCGCCGCCGCGAGAGAGAGACCCACTCTTCGATTTGTTACGGGGATGGCGTTTTTGCGGAAACGCCCATTTAAGGGCTGAGATTCGCGGACGGGCCCGGTCCACACGGGTGGTCTGAGCCTCTGAGGCTCTGAGCGAGTGGAGGGTCCATCGGCATGCCCACCAGTCAACCACCTACGTTAGAGTTATTATAAACCTTTGTTTTCATCAAAGGGCATTTGGTCTAGTGGTATGATTCTCGCTTAGGGTGCGAGAGGTCCCGAGTTCAATTCTCGGAATGCCCCCAATTTTTTTATTTCTTTTAGCTTTTTTCGCCATCGTAACAAATTTCCTTCACATTTGCAGCAATAAATTTGTCTGTGCCTTTTGTTTCTTGCTTCCAAAATACAGACACCAACTCACTAAGGTTTATATAAAACGAAAAGTCGCCAGGAAAAATGAAGCTATCTTTGTCTGCTGCCTTCTCTATATGTATGTGTAATATCTATACTTAGAAACCATCCGGTAACATCACTGGTTCAGTACATCTCAACGGTGTAGTAAAACAAACTGGTGCAGTACACATAATCTTTTACCCACAGAGCTATGTGTAACTATTCTGTAACTCGCTTATTCGACCAACCAACAAATTTGCATCGTCAGGACTGGCCGTCCTCTCTTATTGTGAAGGTGCATGAATGAATGCGGCTGCGAAAATAGGGACCTCTGACGCCACCCCGGCGTCCTCAAAATCAAGCGCTCCCGCGGACAGCTTTGTAGCACTCCAGGCTGCAGAGGGGGAGCTTCAGCTTCGAGTCCCTGTACCGGTACGCATTCGTGCAAGACGGTCCGGCGCACTTCTCACGCGGCGGAGGGTAGCTAGGTGATGAAGGCAAAGTGAGACGATGTTATCCGAGGCGCACATTTGGGAGGGATGCGAGGATTGGTTACCTGCAGGGTTTGGAGTTGAAGATACTGGGGAGGCCTACTTCTTCAGGGAACGTGACCACCGTGCCTGTGGGCCCCATGACCCACCGGATGGAGCTCCTGGCGAGTTCTTGCGCTCTGGCTGCCTTCTCCTGAGTAAGAAGGAATGATTCTGTCAGAAGATAATGGTAGTAGAAAACGCGAGTGTCATGGGCATATGATCAAATGATGCAATGGACCTTCTCCTCTCGCTCCTTCTGCTTCCTCTCTTCTTTCTTCTTCTCGGTGTCCAGGCCCAGTATTTTCCTTATAGCTTCAGCCTGCAGTTAACACTTTTAAGAACTCCTAGGAACTGAACCTACTCCAGGAAGTTTAAAAGAAATCAAGCAAATGTTTCTCCAACCTCGCTTTCTTTAGTGGCTTTCTCCACTTGCATCTTGCGCCGCTGAGCAGCCTCAGCCTTCTTCGCGAGCATCTCAGCATCAGAGAGCTTTTCCTTCTTGCCTGGAGCCACAGAAAAATGTTTCAAATTAAATCAGCGCAAGACTTCAGTCAAGTTACAATAGGCAACAAGGTAGTATGTACTTCTTGATGAAGCTGCTGGTAAACCATCGGGGAACTCAATGGTACTGTTGCTGTTCCCATCCATCCATGATTGAAGGGCTCGGCGACGCGTTGTGAGAGGTTCACTCTTAACACTGGCAGACAATTCAGTGACTGCTTTCTGCTTCTTGTTTTCAGCTTCAAGATCATTATCAGAGGCCAGCTCCTCTTCTGCATTATCCTCATCAGCATCAGTAGAATCTCTTGACCTTTTCTTGCCATCTCTATTTGATTGGGGTGTAACAAAATCATTATCAACCTCATAAACTGTGCTCCTGCTCCGGTCTTTCTTCGAGGCATTCTTCTTAGGGTTACTCCCTCCTTTGTTTTTAGGTTCACGAATATGACCCTCATTATCATTAGAAGCTCCATGATTTTCAGGAGTACTTAAACCATATTCCTCATCTAATTCACTGTCCATGTTGGATTTCTTAGCAATCCTTCTACTCTTCCGGACAGGATCCGAAGACGCTTCTCTCTGAACTTTGGCAGGTTGTTCCGGAGTCAAGGTATCTTCAATTTTCCAAAGCTTTCTTGTTTTCTTGTCTTGAGAAGAGGGCAACCTATTTGAATCTTTGGCACCTTCAGTCTGAAAGTAATTTATCGTTTTAATTGGGTATCAATTATGGATAGCAAAGCAAATAAAGGGACAGGACATGCATAGAACCAACATAACATCATGACTTGCAAAATATTCCCTTCGTTTTTATCTACTCTGCATATTAGATTTGTCTCAAGTCAAATTTTGTAAACTTTGACTAAGTTTATACAAAAATTTATTAACATCCACAGTGCCAAATAAGTACCATTAGAATCATCATTGCATATATTTTCGCATCTTATATATTACCTCCGTCTCAAATTACTTGTCTTAGATTTGTCTAGATACGGATGTATCTAGCACTAAAACTTGTCTAGATACAGATCATCCGTATATAGACAAATCTAAGACAAGTAATTCGGGACGGAGGGAGTATTTGTTATTGTGAAAGTTTATACGGAGCATTATTTTCTATAAACTTGGTCAAACTTTATAAACTTTGACTTCAGTCAAAGCTAATATGCAGAGTAAATAAAATGGAGGGAGTATAATCAGAACAGGTATAGTGCCAAGACTATGAGATAAAAGAAATATCTCGATAGAAACTGCATGTGTATGTCCTAATAACACCATCCAGTTTTCGTTGCAGAACTTGAATTTAGCAAGCTAGCAAATTTTCTTCTTCAAAATGATCCTTCTTTTCAGGTCTCAAGTACACTACGAAACAAAAGATATGATCACTTGTTGTTTACCTGATTACCATGCTTTTGCCGGTGCGATGAATCTCCTGGCCGTGTAGGCTTTGCAGCTGAAGACCTGGAATCTGGTATAGCAGGGTTTGGTTTTGCCGGTATGGTCCGACTGATTCCACCAATTTTGAGCTTCACTTTCCTTGGTTTCTGCGTGGTTGACAAATCATCATTCCCTGCTGACACATGTATCCCATGATTGCTTTCACCCTTTCTTGAGTTACTTCCTGATGCCTCAGAATGCAACTGGTGGCTCCCCTTGCTCTTATGTGAGTTTTTCAAGTTGGGAGGGGACAGAACACCCTCGGTGATACGCTTGGAAGCACGGTCCAGGGAAGGTCCATTCAGATAAAACTCTCGACGTCGGAGTCCTCCGTCAGAGGCAACATTGTCATCTGAGGGCAGCCTCTTTGAATTACTCCTAGATGACATAGATGACTACTTCACAGCAGGATTGCTCTCTGGCCTGGGTCTCCTCGTTGTGCTGGTCCAGTGGATCTTCTAACCAAATAAGACAACACACATAAACAAAAGGCATGTCTTTACTGGAAATGTTGAGTGTAAGTAAAAAATGTTGGGAAAATATATTGCATGATGCATCTTATGACTACAGAATGTGAAGCTGGCACCACCACAATGCTGCAAGCTCAAAAATAATGGTACTTATAGGAAAGGTTATTAATTTACAAGAATAATAACAGTACACATATGGTTTTTAATACTATTTTTAATGGCTCGTCACCTTTCTTTTGGACTAAAAACTCTAGGGGAGGCCCCACAGTAAGAGTTCACAACAACTATCCAAAGCATAGCAAAACTTATGTAGATAAGATTCAGGTTAGAGAGCAAACCCAAACCTTGAATGGCGCCTTAGCTATTCTTAAGTAGGATTTCCAGGATGTAAGGTCAGGGACAACAATGTCAGAGATCTTTGCATTTCTTAGCTACCAAACGTTCCAAGCAGCGATGATGAACACCTCCATGAAGTGTGGCATTTGAAAATGAGAATGGCCAAGGTGAAAGGACCACTCCAAGAGTTGGGCCAGACAATGTTAATAGCTACTGTTATGCGTACGCAACTTAAATAAATCTTTACACGACATGGAACACGGTTAGAAATTTATTACCATCACCTATCTTTAAACTAGAGTTTATTTCTATTTGAAAAATTAAGGTAACATCAAGTTGAGTCAGCAACAGGTAGTTAGCTTTAATAACCTAATGGATAGGTATCAGGTAACTGAACTAACACAACTGCAATGCAAAAACATAACAATAGCTGGTGGTAAAACTGAGATACACAACAAGTCAGCAACAATGTTAAAAAGACATTTAAGAACATGTCGCTAAACTTAGTTAGAGTTGGAGATTTGGAGTAGAATAAATCCGATGCTCTCCCTGCTCATGTTCTCCTCCCTCAACCTCAAGGATGAAGACGAGTCTCACGAATAAGTGGTCATAGTCTCAATTAAAAAAATTATGATATTTGTACTGCATGGTACTAATTACTTGAATCAAAGTCAAACAGAAAATATATTATTGCACACAAATCAATCACCAGAAATTCAATTCATGAACAACCGAGCAAAAAATGAATCCCCAAAGTTGATCATCCTTGAATTCCTAGCAAGCAACTTGTTTAGACACTTCTAATTTTATTCGCAAACAAGCAAAAAAGTGAAACCGCAAAGTTGATCATCCTGGACAACCTAGAAATATTATTAGCCGAAGAGAATTCCTAAAGATCAGGACCACCAACTTGTTTAGATTTTAGATACTTTTAATTTTGTAATAATGTCATTTCTAAATACTTCCTCCGCAAAGCAGCATAACAATTGTTTTATAGCTACTTTACAATTGTAGCATATCTTCTTCACAAATGCAACAATTAATTTTTTTAGCTACTTTACAATTGTAACATATCTTCTTCACAATTGCAACAATAATGTAATATCAAGTTCAGTCAGCATCAGGTGGTTAGCTATAATAACCTAATGGATAGGTATCAGGCAGTTTTGTACTGATTAACACAACTGAATTATGGGCAAAAATTACGGTGCTAAAGCACAATAGGAATGGTTGGCGAGTTAACTGCAGTGCAGAACATAAAACTATATTACTTGAATCAAAGTCAAACAGAAAAACTATATTACTGCACACAAATCAATCGCCAGTAATTCAATTCGTGAACAACCTAGCAAAGAATGAAACCCCAAAGATGATCATCCTTGGACAACCTAGAAATATTATCAGCCGACGAGAATTCCTGAAGATCAGGACTAGCAGCCTGTTTATACACTCGTAATTTTGTAATAAGGTCGTTTCTAAATACTTCCTCGCCAAGGCAGCATACGCACCTAGATTTGTTGGTAAATTACATTAGCCCTAGCCCCTTGAAACGCAAGGAACAAGGTGTATCATGTATGTAGCGACTGCTACCAAAACCTTCCGCGGGTAGGGGAGCAGATGATGAATAACGAGACGGGAGGGGAGGAGAGGGTTTGGCAGGAAGAGAAAGTCGGATGAGACCTTACCACTTTGGGAGCGACCAGACGGCTGGCGAGAGATCCGAGGATTGGGAAGTCGGCGTCGCGGGATGGAAATTCGGGGCCGGGAGGAGGGCCGGGGGCAACGGCCTGGCCGCTGGGCGCTGGGCGCCGGCGACTTGCCGAGTGAGGAGGGAGGGGGAGGGGCGAGGAGCTCGCCCTGGAATTCCGCCCGCCCTGCTTGTCGATTTGGGGGAGACGAGAAAGACGAAGTTCCACGGGTTCAACCGCTAGCGGCAGGGGCAGGGGCAGGGCCCGTTTGGGAGCTTCGTAAACTTCTCCACCCGGAAGATCTCATCTTTATCTGTGCCCGAGAAAAAGAAACCATTGCAAACAATTATTATATTTTCTGTTTGGATAGGGAGTTACAAGAAGCTAATAGCAACCTGAAAATAATACTCTCTCCGATCCATATTACTTATTTCTTAAATGAGTGTATTTAGCAGCGACAAAGCGTGACACACAGTTAAGGAGGGAGGAGAATAAAAGGCCGCTGCTAGGCGTAAGTCGGATGATGGACACGATTTATAAACCGCCTTGGCGACCGTTCGATGAAGTCAGCGTGTGCGTCTGATCTGTGACAGCTGGAGCACACTTCCCTCAACAATGCTACCCCCGTTGTCTTCTCCATTGCTGCTCCACGCTCCCCCTGTTGTCTTGATGCTCCATGGCAGTCCCGTGCAAGGTGGAGCTACTCCTCCATGGAAGCTCCATGGCAGCACCGAGCGGCATGGCAAAGCTCCAATGCAACACCGATGGGCATCCGACGGAGCTCCATCGCAGCACCGGGCGGCACACGATGGTCCCAGCGATGCTCCAATACAACACCGGCAGCCCGGTGATGTTTCATCGCAGTACCAGCGGCCTCCGGCGATGCTCCAATACAACATCGGCCGCCTGACGACTCTCCATAGCAACCCCGGCAGCCCCCGGCGACTCTGCATAGCAACACTGGCGCGTTGCGTTGCAGCTCCTCCGCCGGTGCACAACACCACGACCCCATGGCATTGCAACTCCGTCGCTCACCTCGTGTTGCATTGTAGCTTCGCCAACGGCGCGCAACACCATGGTTGTTGCGCTGCGTCTCCACCGCCGACGCGCAACACCATGGCCGTTGCACTGCAGCTCCTCCGCCGACAACCTGCGCTGCAGCTCCGTCGTCCCCATGCAGTGGCACGCTCGCTCAATTGTAGCCCCGCCGCCCATCGACGAGGCAGCCCGCATCCCCGACTCACAGCCCCGAACCCGCCTCAACAGATTTGTAGTGCCGGTGGTCGGGAACGGGAAGCAACCGTTCTTCATCCCCTTGCATCGTTGGTGGCCGGTGGTGTCTCGATGTTGCGTCATCGGTGGAGGAATTGGGGGATACGAGAGAGAGGGAGCGGCTGTTGGGGAAATAAGGTGGAGAGAGCTCCGGTGGTCCTGGCCTCCGGTGCTCGCCGACCTTATGCTAGAGAGGGAGCCGAGAGGAAGAGGGGTGGGGATGACAATAGCGACAGAGGTAGGAGACGGAGGAAACGAAAGAAAAAAATATGCGGCTGTTGAGGAGATAAGGCTGTGCGGGAGGTGGATGGGTCCGACTGGACACGTGGAGGGCGCAGCAGGCGGCTGATTTGCTGAGAAATCAGTCGGTTGGAAGGAATACTTTTCCAGAATAAAATTTGAACCAAAAGCAGAATATGGTTGAAAACAGGACCGACTCACACAAAAAAATCAATCTAGCTGCTTTAGGTAGCTAGCTTTGCACGCGCAAGTGTGTATGTCGCATCCCTGGCCTTGCTATGCACTTGGGCTAGCTTGGTTGCTGCATCATGTCTAAATTTCTTTTAAACTTGAAATGGGGATGACAAACCCTAGCACTAAATAAAATGCAATTAGGATCAAAATAAAAATATTTTCAATGAACCCAGAATGCCCTTTAGAAAAGTTCATTATTTTTGTTAAAGGTGAAAACCTCTGCCAAAAATGATGCACATATTTTTAGGCCATTCTGAATTTTTGAATTAAATCCTGCTGTATTTGACTTTGGGCATTTAAATACTATAAATAATTTAAATGTTCAAATAAATGTTGGAAATTCTTAAGGGTCACTGAAATAATTCAGAAAGCACCCATAATTGTTTCCAGGATTTTATGAAATGGTTTGGTATTATTACTAAATCAAAACAAATAGCAAAAACTAGAAAACAGAAAGTAATAGGAAAACAAGAGAGAGAGGAAGCCTACCTGGGCCACCTACCTGCAGCCTACCTAGCGCCCCACCTGGCCCAGCAATGCGGCTGAGGCCCAGCCCAGCTCCCCACCGTCTTCAACCTCTGCCAGTAGGCAGAGGCGTGTCGACGCGCCCGCGCCCGAGCACCACCTCCTGCTTCCACCTCCTGCTGCCCCCTCATCGCCCTGGACTCCCTCCGCGACGCCACGCGACCCCCGACGCTCTCTCACTCTCTGGTTCTCTCTCCCCCTTGCTCCTCTGCTTTCTCTCCCCATGATCGAGCATGCCCACCGCCGCCGACGTGCACCACCGCGGCCACGGCCATCCCCGAGCCGCCCCGAGCTATCCGCGAGCTCCGCCACCTCGCTCCCTACCTCCTCACCGAGCCACACGACCGGAAGGGCCCCGAAGCGCCGCCCCGATGCTTTTCTCCTCCTCGGCCGCCGGAGATCCGCCTCGCCGCCCCGCTCGCCCCGATGCTTCCCCGAGCTCGCCGTTCGCCTCGTCGCAACCGCCGTGAGCTCCTGCTCCTGCTCCCCCTCTCCGCTCCCTCTCTCGCACGCCGTAGCTGCCGCACCACATCCAACCGCACGCGCCGCCGCCCACACTCGTCGCCGGTGATGCTCCGGTGACCATTTGGTCCCGGGCATGCGCCCAACGCGCTCCCCGCATCG